ATACACATTATATATATATACATACACACACACACACACACACACACCTCATATACATTATGTAGAATAGAATATACTGGCATCCCTGTGGTGAAAGGCACATACAATTATGACTTTTTAATAATTGACATTAATTTTAAAGGGGAAATGCTATGTTGGTATTAAATGTCTGATATTGTTGAATGAGAACTTACTTAGACCCAGGTCCATGTTGAATGCTAAAAGATCACCCTGGGGTTTATAATTCATTTAATTTATACTGTTATATTAACATGTTTTTTCCAAGCTTAAACACCGATATCACACGGTATGTCTACAAACTGTATTCTTTAAATCTAAAAATAAAATATTGTATTACTACTAAAATTACTTATACTGAGTTTAGATGTACTGCTTTTTGGAGAATAGAGAATTCTGGTATAGTTTACATTAGTGGTTTGTCATCTTACGAGGTATAAGAGGACCAAACATAATGATCCGTATATGTAATGCTGGAAAGAACTGTCAGACTGCAGATATACTAGAGAAAATGATGGTCAGAGACTGTGGACATGCTACAGGTGTGGTTGGAGACAGTGATTGCCTGTAGAACATGTGATATGAAGCTGGTAGAGATCAATGCCATTAAAAAAAATCAATACAGTACTCCCACTACTGACTGCTGGGGTCCAAAATGCCCACAAGTTGGGCAACAAGGGGTTTTACATGGTGTATGTGACCCTATAAGTACTCCAACCCACCCGTGACCTTTGTGCTTGCAAATGCATGCATTTAAAAGTATGTATTTTGTATTTTACGATGGATGGTTGTGTGTATTTCCAAGGAAGGATGCTCCCTGCTTTTTTATGTTGTTGCAACCATGTAAAACGTAAGTTTAATGCATTTTACATGTGGTATTGTTCATCCTTATGGGAGATGTGCTTGTGGGAAACCAAAAATCAAACCACAGCATGCATGACTTATGAAAAACAGTACCACATGAGATCACATATATTTAAAATGTGGGTGCTCTAGTATGCAAATATTAACCACAGCTTCTGTAGTCAAGCATAGACCTGCCTCCTTCTATTGCCTACCTATAACATTTGGTGGCTTACAGGAAAGGGTAGGAGGAGGTGGGCTAGAGTTCAACCACGGAGGCTGTGGCCTACATTAAATAGTGTCCCAGGTACTACTCATTGTAATGGGCTTTAAAACTTCTGCTACAACATCCACAACAGAATGGTTGATGTTTTGATACCTTCTGTTCATCTGGCACCTGAATTTTTCTAGCTTTTTTCATAATGGGTTGAGGTTTTAGTTCCTCTTCAGAAAATCGATGTTTCCTAGGGTCGAAGGTCTCATGCCCTGGAACACTGGACAAGGCAAGGTCAGCAGGATCCGGGTCAAAGTTCATCACTACTTCCACAGACTCTGGGTCCACAGGACTTGGACTTTCTCTGGATGAAGGAGTCATCTGGCCTAGTGTGGCAAAAAGAAATATGTTGTTAAGTCAGGGGAACAAACCAGTTCAGGTAATTCACATATTTCTAATTGCAAAGCACTTTCGATACATGAAAACAAAATGAAAATGTATTGAACTGATCCTAGTGTATTGGACAGCAATAATAATTTGCAGTGACTGAGCTATAATTTAGGCCACTGTGCTGTGGATACATTTTCTAAAGTTAAATTGTACTTAACTACCCACTACAAACAAAATACCTCATGCGTAAAAGAATACTGAAGTAAAAAAGTGAAGTGACGTGTAATTATAGCTTTCTATTTTTTGTAACTTTCACTAAAAAATAAAAAAACTGAATTCTGGTATCTACAGGTGACGCATTTATTTTCCTTTCACCATTAAAAAAAAAAAAAAAAAAAAAAAAAAAAAAAATAT